ACAGTGGCCCGGCTTTTATGCCTCTTTTTCTGTCCAGTGCTCAGTTTCACTGAGCCTGGAGACAAGGAGAAGGGACCTGTAGGAAGTCATTAAGCTGTCTCCATGCCTGATGGACCTCTGTGGAAAACTCCAGGGAGGAGAGGTCTGGGAGCCTTGTGAGTGGGATGAGCTGTGCAGGTGGTAAGAAATCCAGTGACATAGCTACAGGCCTGGCTACCTGTGTATCTATTCCCTGGGGTGAGGGGGAATGGGGAGGGGCTAGGCCATACAGCACCTATTTCCTTGAGGTGTACTTTGACAGGCAGCACAATAAAGTGGTGAAGAACGTGGGCATTGAAGCCAGACTACCTGGTTCCCCTGCTTCCTAGCTATGTGACTATGTAACCTTGCGAAACTCTCAGCCTCCCTGTTCCTCATTTTTCTTATCTGTAATGCGAATCTCACGGGGTTGTTTTGAAGATTAATTACTTTATACAAAGTACTTAGAACTGCCCAGTGCATAGTAAATGCTCGAAAATGTTAGCTATTGTTTGTGTTTGGGATCTCTATGGTTTGGAGGTAGATCTGCCCCTGATCCACAGTCTAGAGATGCTTTCCTGCCCACAGGTGCTGGCTCTGTTCTTACCAGATACATGGGATGAATGGGGATTCCATAGTCCTCTGAAAGCTTCCCCAGACCTTAGGTTTTGAGACGGTTTACCCAACCCTATCATATCACATTAAAACAATTTGCAAAAATGGGGAGGAAACTTTCAGACTAAGGAGGGCCCAGAAGACCAGGAGAAAACACAGCCAAATAGCTTCCTCACTTTGTAGCTCAGCAGGAACTGGGAAGAGAAAGCGTCTAAAATGGGCCCTTGGTGGGGGGCGGTGCAATACATAACAGACAGGCTCGGAGGCCTTAACTCTTCCTCAATTTCTTCAAACACTCTGGCTGCTTTCTTCACTCTGGCCCGTTTCTCCTCTGTGCCATGATGGAGCCCCTGCCTCCTCCTACCCCGACCCATCACTTGATTCTTGGGAAGGTTAGCACTAGGAAAGCTCTAGAAAGAGAGGCAAAGTGTATTCTCCTTCTTGAAGGTCACAGTTCCTCTGGTCTTAGACTCAGGAATTGGCCAATGATAGGAAACCACATAGAAACTCAGCAGGTGCCCCAAACAACAGGAAACAGGCAGTTGAAATAGCATCACAGTCTGTTTATTATGATCTCCACTGTGCCCAGCCTCTGGGAGCATGAGCTCCTTCTGGAGTGAAGGCTGAGCCATGGTGAGGAACATGCAGCTGTAGTGATGGGAAGACAGGGCTTGGGGATGTTCCCCTCAGCTTACTGTCAAGTTACCTTCTGCAGAAAAGCACATAGGAAGGGCATGAGGGACCAGAGGGCATTGGGTCCTCTCTTGTTACTTGAGTGCTCTCAGGGCCCCCCTCACAAGCCTGTGTTTGGCTAGGAGACAGATCTTAGGCTGTCTCTTAAACAAGGCTAAGCTTGAAGGTCTTTGTTTCACCATGGATATGGAAAGGCCTTGCTACTTATACCCTGATGTTCTCATCTGTGGTCATGCCAACTTATGCTATACAAACTGGAATGTAATTGGGCTTCTTAGTCACTGGCCAAAACCAGACCTGACACTTGCTCCATGATTTAGGTCATTGGGGCATGTGGCCCAGAGGGAAGGAGGTTTTCCTTAATGCTAGTTGGGTCTAATGGAAATTCCATAACCTGTTTCTTTCAAGGTTGTTAAAAGCAGTGGCAGCAGGAAAGCAACAGCAGGGAAAATGTCCAGGTCCACCCCACTCCAGGACTGAGCTGTTGGGAATAGGCATGATGCATTAATATCCTCCACTCAAGGACACCTCTGTTTGGGCTGCAGCCAGGGACCCAGAGAGCTATCCTGGGCAAATTCAAACTAAGTGGTATGGAGAAAGTAGCAACTTTACTCCACTGTAAATAGACTAAAAAAGGTTATGGTTCCAGGTGCTGCCAGGATGCCCTGAAATCCTGGCAGCAAGGTGGTTCTGCCTTTTAATGCCCAGTATACATCTGCCTTCACTCTGCTGGTTTGAAGGGGACATTTGGAGGATCACTAGAGCCTGCTACCAATCCTGCCTGGAGGTTACTCTTGGCTCTGGGGTGGTCATGGCTGGCCCGGGGCACTGCCAGACAGCTTCTGCCAAGCTTCCCTCCTGGCTTTAGGACTTCTTGGCACCACTCTTACTGAAGCCTTGAGACCTGCAATGGTCAGTGGTTGAGGTTGTGCTTTGGGCCAGGAGGCCTATGCACAATCGTGGGCTCATCCCCCAGTGAGGCACCCTCTTCCCAGGCAGTTTGATTCTGTGCTTCCCATACTCGTGATAGGAATGGGGAAACCCCCAGACTGGGCCACTCGAACAAGGCCAGGATGACATGCCATGGGGAGCACCAGGGCCAGAAAGGCCAGTGTCTGCCCTGTAGCCCCAGTTGCTTGGGCTGAGGGCAGGAAGAAGCAGTTGTGCTCACGGCTCTGGCCAGGGCTGTCCTCAAAGGAAGAGGAGCACTTGAGAGTGGGTCAATACCTAGGTGTGAGGGAACTGCTCCATCCCTGGGATCCAAAGGGCCATTGCTCAAAAGCACAGAGCCTGCATCTGTTGGGGAAGGCTGGTCTTGGGAGAGGAAACCATGGAGCAGACCTGGAGAGGTTACACGGCCACTGCTACTGCCTCAGCTGATCCTCTGTCCCTGCAGCTCCAGTGTGTCATCGAGATGCCCTGTCTCTAAATCTGAGCATGGGGAAGGGGACTGCTGCAAAAGAGGCTTATGGCAAGTGGTCTTCAGAGAGCATGTATGTAACCCCAGTCTCCCTTGGCGGGGGGGTGGGGTGGGTGGTGCTTGGGAAAAGCACTCATCTCAATTTTGGGCAGCCAAGAAGAAAAGACTTAAGTTTTTATTTTCTCATATCCTTATTAGAGTCAGACACTAATTTTTGTACTTGGCAGAACTGCAGACAGTCACAGTGATGGAAGGAAAGGGAACAGGCTTCACTAAGTTTATAAATGTTTGAACATCTCCACACACACTGCAGAGGGGCTCCGGGAATTAGGATACTGCAAAGGGAGAGCCTGGACAGGGGATTGGGGAGGGGCTTCTCCAACTTTCAAACGGCTGAGCAATGGAACCTCTCCTTTGGAGAGGAGAGAAGAGGCTGGTTGCTTCTCCATGCTTTTCTGCTTCCTAGGACTCTGGTAGGCTGGGAACTCTATCCTTTGCTGGGAGTAGTGTCCCCTGGGCCCTCTGCAGCACACCCCAACCAAGGAAGCTTGCTGTCCTAGAATAGGGGGAGGCGTGATCTCAAGTGGGCCTGATCCTATTGTGGAAGAACTCTGGGGCCTGCTTTGCCAGGCCCTGGGATACAGACAGCCTCATCTCGGCCACAGTCTTTCACCAGTCACTCACAGAAAGCTAGAAGTTGCAGCTCCAGAGAGGTACACATCACCTTGATTTGTGAGGGATCAGGGAACAAGGTGGACCTCCAGTCCCTGTGACTGATGACAAGGCAGGAGAAAAAAAGCTGTTCGGCTCTCAAAGCCTACAGCGTGTCACTACTCAAAATGCTCACTTTGTGAGATCAAGCAGCCCAAGGCGATTGGCATAGAAGGTGATTTTCCAGGAGAGTAAGTGAGAGCCCTCGTGCTAATGTTCTTTAATCTTCTCAGTGCAAAATCCCAGGCCCGGCTGCCTCAGACGCAGTCCTTGGGCCCGGGTCATGTGCTTTCTTTTTCCTTTTTTTTGGCTGGACTGAATAATGGCCCCTCCTACTGATCAGTCTTGGGAGTATGGCTAAGGAGTATTTACAAAAAGCTGTGGGTTGTTCAGGTCCATACACATGAACCTAGATTCATCTTCTATCTGCTTCACTTCAGTTCTAGACAATCCAACTCCAGAAGCTTCTCACCCTGCTTCTAGGTCAGGCAGTTTCTGCAAGAGACCATATAGTGCAACCCCATGCCCCTGGTTGCAGCTCCCCCCTTTTCTCTGAGCATCTCAACCCTGAGCACTATGCTGTAAGCATCCAATTTAGTACAAGAGCCTTGAGTAATGGGGATATGTTAGCTTATGCATGACTGAGCTAACTCCCACAAATAACTCTTGGTAGTCAGATCTGGCTAAACCTAAGTCATTAGGTTGGAAACAGAAACCTGAACCCCAGGGCCAGGGCTGACCCCCAACAGGCACTGACTTGAAAACCTGATGAGAACTTAGGAAGGACAGCTGGGGCTTGGAGGTCAGGCTTGGTGGCCTTGTGGCAGCCTCTGCCTGTCCCCTAAGTCCTTCCATGCCAGGCCCAGGCCCTAGGCTGGTGGGGAAGGACATGTAGTGAGCAGCAGGGAGACGCAGCAACTCAGGCCATATCTCAGTGATGGGAGAAGGGAAAGCCTCCGCCTCCTGTGAGGTTTTGCTGCAACTTGCTCTGCTCAAGAAAGCTGAGGTGCCAATCCTCTTCTTAGCTCCAGCCCCATATCCTCATTGTCAGGGTGGGTCAAAGGAGTCCCTGCTCAGAGCTTCTGTGGAGCTGCTCTTTCTTGGGCTGTGGAAGAGGCTGGCTCTGTTCTCCACACAACGGGACACTTTTCTAGGTCTGCAGTTGAGCTGGAAGGGTGGAAAAGCATGAGCCTTCTCCTCTGCTCTTCCATCCGGACCTTGTCCTCACTGGAGCTCAGGCTTTGGGTCTCTCTGGTAGCTGACTTGGGTGAAGCATCTAACACAAAGGGTTGTGCCTCCTGCCATCATACTTGTTCCATTCAGGCCCCCTGGGCTCTGGGCCATGAGCTCCCATCTGAAAAACAGGGGCCAGGGTGGCTCACCTTGGTTTTTGACTGTTCTGCTAAAGACATCAGGACTTAAACAACTTGGCTGAGAGATTCCTAGAATGCTGGGTCCCTGGGAGAGGCTGCCTCTCCCTTTTCTGATTAGGACTCCACAGACTAGTTGCCTTCTCTGTCACCAGGAACTGCAATTTAAATAAGTAATTGGCTGAAGTGCAGTGGTGGTTTTCAACTATTTTCCCACCCAAACACAGCTGAGGGACACAGCACACACCCACCAGAACAGCGGCTCACCACAGGAGGGGTTTTCAATAGAGGAGAACATGTGAGTCTGATATGCCCCCTTATTAAGAATCACTCGGCCAGAGACTTACCTATTAGAAATCAGAACTGGCCAGTAGGAGGAGTAAGTAGAGACCCCTCATCTTATACCAGAGGCTTCACAAAGGAACTCTGGTCCTTTTTCAACCAAAAAGAACCAGGTTGCTGAAGGTATGGACAGCTAGGCATGTGTATGTGTGCAGTGGCAGGTCCAGTCTATGATGTGAGGGCAGGGGGTGGTCCAGGAGTGGATGCTGCCACAGCTCCCAGGGCTTCTCCCTGGGCAATGCATTTACTGCCTCTGTTGTGAGTGGAATGGTGATTTCAGTGCCATAAAGCTTAGTGACAAACTGAGATGCGGGCAATGCCCCATCCCCTGAAGTTTCAGTACCAAAGGGTGGTCAGGGAAAGGGAGAAAGGAAAGGAGAGAGAGAACGCCACTGTCCCCCAACTGAGCTTCTTGCTCCATGCTATCCTGGGGGTTTCAGATGAATGGCTGTGCTGTTGGGGCGAGCAGCCAAGATGTAGATGACATTCTCCTGCAGGAAGGTAGGCCAGTCCACAAATCTGGAGTGGAAGCAAAGAACAGGTTTGTGAGGCTTGTTGCAGAGCTGAGGCTCATGAGGCGTGATCCCCGTGGCAGCATGGCTTGAGCTGGGCAAAACTCAGGGAAGCTCTGGCTTGTGCCTGACATGGTTATGTCTGACTGTGCTTCCAAGCTGAGAGACCAGCTGGCTGGCCTATGGACCTGGAGTCAAACGTGCATTCTTGGAGCCTGGTTTCTGCGGTGGGCACTTGCTGTTTTGGGGTGGCAGTGGGTAATGCTGTTGAGGGGTTGAGGATGTGGACAGCCAGATGAGGAGGTCCCACTCACCTGGACTCATGCTCTGCGGGCAGCAGGGCCTTGTCCTGGCTCTTGCTGCTGCTCCTGGCTGGGCTGCTGTCTGCTATGCGACCCACATGGCTCATGCTGTTGGGCACAAGGGTATGTGGTTAGGAGTGGGACAGTGAAAGGCCTGGCCCCTCCCAAACTCTGGTGAACCCATGGCTCCGGATGTGCAAATGTCCAAGCTTTCTGACATGGAGCAAGAGTTTGGAGCAGAGGCTGCCCTGTGCCTTGGCCACTGGAGTCACACAGGATGATCCTCTCCTGGCTGTTGGCAGGAGAACCAGGGAGGTACCTTTCACACCAAGGGCTATTTGGCATGGAAAAAGGAGGAGGGCATATGAGTGGCGCAGGGATTGGTAGGGAGCAGACCTGACACTGCAGGAAGGAGCCCCTGCGAGGCGTTTGCAGAACCAAGAGTGCTGGGCGCGGCGGCACTCTGCCTCACTGATCGTGCCCCTGCTGCCGCATGCCAGGAAGGTGGCTCGGGCTCGCTCTCGCTCCTTGACTGTCAGAAGCCTTAACAGAGAATTCTGGAGAAGAAGAGACAAGCTAAGATCTTGGAGGTGAAAATATTTTGTAAACTGTCAAGCCATAGAGAATCTGACCTCCATTACCACCTCTGCAACCTCCCTTTGGAGCTGCCCAGAGCCTTTCTGGTAGCACCAACAGTTGCAGTGGGGTCCAGTGCAAATCAATCTTTCCTGGGCAGTCTCCCCAGCCTCCGCACTGGATCACCTGTCACTGGACAGAACCTGAGCCCTTTCCTGGTTCTGGTCCATGCTCAGACAGTACCCAGTGCTCCGCCAACCTGCCCGGCATGCTTCCCAGGTCTCTGTCACCCAGGAGCCCATGGACATTCACCCCAGCTGGCCCTCACCTGGGGACGCAATTGCTGCAGAAGTAGGAGGGACTCATGGGACAAGAAGTCAGGCCACTCTATGTGTCCTCGATGTTCAGGGTCCAGAGCTGCAAACTGGCGGGCTGCCTGCTTCTCTTGCTCCTCACTTAGAGCCCTGTCACTGTCCCCCTGCTTTGCTGCTTGGTGGCGATAGCGTAGGAAGTCCTCCAGAGTCAGGGAGCAATCTGTGGGGAGGCACCCCATGCTAGCCATGCCCACCCTTTCCTCAGCCTCAGGGGTACCTCCACTCACCTCTGGGGTACCCTTCAGAGCCCCTACAACCTCAGCTCTTGGTGAGTCTTTGTCTCTCATAGCTAGGTTAACTCAGGCGATGGCTGGGGGTGGGTGCCCCTGCTGGCCAACAGGTTGGGAACAGGGACCCATTTACCCCCTACACTCCAAATTCCAGAATACTCCTTTCATGGTTCATCTTAGAAAGTATGAAGGAGAACTCTTCCCAGCCCCTCTGCATCCAGCAGCACCATCCAGCCTTACCAGGGATGACTTTACACTGCTGAAAGGTCTCTGTGAGGCTGTACATTTCCTCCTCAGTTAGCAGCAAGTTGAGGTTGTCCTGAAAACAAGGAAGAGCTGAGTCAGTGGCCATACAGGCCAGTAGGAAAGAAAGGCCAAGAATCAAGAGGGATGGAAATTGTATTTCAACTGAAAGGCAATTCTGGGATCATCTAATCCAGACTCTCATTCACAATCAAGGGGACTGAGGCCCCAGAAAGGTGAAAGGATTTGCTCTGAGTTGCCCAACTCTGGGGCAGAATTTTCCCCAGAATCCAGGTATCCTGACTCCCGCTCTGAATCCTTTTTACTAAAGTAGTGGTTTATAAATTATTATCTGAGATACCCTAGGGATTCCTTGCAAATGCCTCAGGAAGCTGCTGCAAGGGAGAAGGGGGCTAGTAAGCAGGCAGGGTTGTGAATCCCCAGCTCTATCAGCCAGAGCAGCTCCATCTTTATCCATTTTACATATTTGGCTTCTGTGTTAGACTGTGCTCAAAGAGTATTTTAGTTAAAAAAAAAAACGTTTAATTCTAACTCTGCTCCTAGTGGGTTGTATCACTTTAAATAAATCCAGAATGGTTCTGAAAGAGATGCCATCATGACAAAATTCCTAAAACCAAGTGAGTTTTTTGTGGTGCCATGAAAGTTTTAATTCCAAAAGAGCACTGATATGTTATTTTGTTAACATTAATTTACAATCTTTAAACTATCAAAGATTCTTTCTAGTAGATTATTTTTTTCCCTTAAAATTATACCAGCAAAAAACAAGAGCAGACATTTCATGAATATTCATTTGTGGATTTCATAAAGAACTCAAACCATTCTTTCAATAAACACTTATTAAGCACCTAGCATATGCTGGGCACAACAGTGCGTAACACTGTGAGACGTTCAGCGTGGCTGGAGCATAGAGAGTATGTGTGTTGGGGGAGGGTAGGGAGGAATGATAAGACAAGGGAGGGAGGTAGGCAGAAGCCTGACTGTGAAGGCCTCAAATGCCCTTTATTGACCCCCTCAAATTGGGCCTTTATTCTGAGAGCAAAGGGGAGTCATCAAAGGGTTTTTAAGTGTAGAGTGCTATAGTCAGATCTTTGCTGTGTGGAGAAGGTATTAGAGGGGCAAAGTCTAGAGGCATGGAGAGCAGTTAGGTGGCTGTTGCATAGTACTAGTAAGAAAAGATAAGTGGCTAAGCTAAGACATGAGAATGGAGATGAGGGGAGAGAGCTGAGAGATATTAGGAGATAGAATCAATAGGACCTATTGACTTACTGGGTGTGAGGGATGAGGGAGAGAAATTGGCCTTGGTAACTAGTGGGGCGGGGGTGGTATTACTATTCACAGAGAGAAGAAATGGAGGGAGAGCAGATTTTAGGAGAAAGATGAGTTCATTTTGGGGCATGCTGAGTGTGCAGTACCTGTGAGACATCAAGATGGAGATAAGTCCAAGAGACAAAGGAAATTTAGGTCTGGACACAGATTTGAGAGTCATTAGTGTTTATATGGTGGCTGTTGCCACTGGAGTGGATGAAGTTACCCAGAGAGAGAGTGTACAGTGAAAAAAGAAGAGTGTTAACAACAGAACCCTGAGAAACACCAGCATTTAGGACTGGGACAAGAAACTAAGAACACTTAGAAAGAATGGTCAGAGAAGAAGGTAGAAAGAGAATCAGTAGAATGTTCTGGAAGCTAAGAAAAGAGAGCTGCACAATGTAGGAGGTAATAACAGTGGCTATACAAGTATGATGGGATTTTATTGATTTTCTATTTTCTCTAGTTTCCATATTTTGTGTATTGTCCCCTAAAAAAAGAGGGGACAATAAGGAAGTGCTAAATATGTCTGAGAGGTCAAATAAGAAGATGCCTGAGAAAAGGTCACAGGACTTGACAATTAGGTCACTGGTGACCTTAGGAAGAGCCGGTTCAGCAAAATGATGGATACAGATGTCAAATTACAGGTGGTTGAGGAGCCACAAGGAGATGATGAAGTCCTTTCAAGAAGCCTGGCTGTGAAGGGAAGGAAAGAAAGGGGAGGAGCTTGGAAGAAGCCTTCGTAAAACATTAGGTAGAGAGTGCTGGTAATGATGTAGGACTGTGACAGAAAGCCAAGAAGGGAGTTGTGTATTCCTGGGGGTTAGGAAGGAGACACCTTCAACCCAGTCCCACATCAGCAGAACACTGCAAAGCAGAGTTGCTGCAAATCAAAAGGCTGGCATTTGGGGGGGTGGTGACTAGAGAAGATGGTCTGTAGAGCAGGGTCTGCTGTGGCATACTCCAGCTGGGGAAATGGTGTTTAAGTGGCTGGAAATAGCTGTTCCATACTTCATCTCATGGACAAGCCACAGATAAAGTGTTATTTGTTAGAAAGTGGCATATCTTTGCTTTCTCAGCAGTAGGGAGAAAAGGGGATCAGCAGATGCTCTTTACTCTGAAATCAGTGAATAATGAAGATATCTGCAGGACGACAGATCAATAAAGCAAGACTTGAACTCTATTCAGGTGCACTGAGAAATGGACATGAATCTGGCTTTCTGTTTCATTAAAAGTTGGAAGATGGGCTGGCCCGGTGGCTTAGCGGTTAAGTGCGCATGCTCCGCTACTGGCGGCCCGGGTTCGGATCCCGGGGGAGCACCGACGCACCGCATGTCTGGCCATGCTGAGGCTACGTCCCACATACAGCAACTAGAAGGATGTGCAACTATGACATACAACTATCTACTGGGGCTTTGGGGGGGGGAAAAAAAGGAGGAGGAGGATTGGCAATAGGTGTTAGCTCAGAGCCAGTCTTCCTCAGCAAAAAGAGGAGGATTAGCATGGATGTTAGCTCAGGGCTGATCTTTCTCAAAAAAAAAAAAAAAAAAAGTTGGAAGTCATTTATATATAATTTGCAAAGTTCTGAATCAATAAACCTTTGTTATTTAATTCACATGATCACATCAGAGATGAACAACACATGTGCCTAAGAGTCAGGTGGTAGCCCAGTAAGGATCTCAGGACTAAGTTTTCCTCTGATAGAATCTATCCCTGTTGGAAGCAAGCTAGTTAGGATTTCAGGTTGGTTTTTCAGATGAGTACCATGAATGACAACTACAGACTAATTATTAGAGAAAGCATTGCTCCAAGAATTACTTTTGAATAATTAGGCCTCATCGTATGCCTTCAGTCCTCTAGCTCAATGGTTCTCAACTGGGGATGATTTTGCTTCTCCAGGACACATTTGGCTATGTCTGGAGACATTTTTGGTTGTCACAACTGGGGAAGGGTGCTACTGGCATCTAGTAGGGTAGAGACCAGGAATACTGCTAAACATCCTACAATGCAAACAGCCCCCACAACAAAGAATTACTGTGCCCCAAATGTCAACAGTACTGAGGTATAGAAAGCCTGTCCTAGCTCTAGGACCCCTGTATCTACTACTGGATACAGGTCACTGCCCAGCAACCCAGTGGGCCTCCAGGAAAGGTGCCAAGTCCCCCATGCTGCAGTAGCCCGCTATCCCTGCAGTCCACGCTCACACAGTAGTGGCAGCTCCAGCCTGTTTCCGTGTGGGCCATCTCGGTCATCTCTGCTGCACTGTCTTCTTGGATGTAGCCCATGCGGCGCAGGCAGCCATCATGGAAAACCCTGGTGCAGACCCTGCATGGGAAGAGGCTCTCGGCTGTCCAGACCTCACAGACATCACACATCTCATCGTTGACAACCTAGGGAAAGATGGCAGGAAGGAATAGGGATGTGTAAGCACGGGCAGCAAGATCCTTTGGCCACTGAGCACAGAGCTACCCGCATGGGCCTGAATCTCCCTGGAGCAGCCTGGAGGAACAGCTCCAACTGAAGCCAGTGTTAAGGCAACAAAGCTTTCTCTCTGGAGGACAAGAACCAGCAGGCTCTTCCAGCTGCCCAGGCCTCTGTGACCATGTTTTTGAACAGGGATGCTACTAGTATTTTTGGAAAGAATAATCTGTTGTGCGAGATTGTCTCAGACTCTGCAGGACATTTAGCATCCCTGGTTTTCTTGGCACCAAATACCAGTAGCAACTCCTGGTTATTGTGACCTTCACTAACTTCATGCCCCCTCAAATTTCCAGATGCCTCCTACAGGGGTAGTACTATTCCCGTGTGGGAGGGTTGGCAGAAGACCTGCCATGGTGTCATTCCATATCACCCACTGCCTCAAGTCTTTGACTAAGACTAACCCAGGATGTAACTAATATTTTTACTCTTGTGGAAGAAATTCAAAGATTGTTCTGGACTCAGTTCCATCGTTCTGGTTTTGAGCCTCACTTCAACAATACCCAGGACTCCCTGTCCCACTCCCTGATCATCAGAAGGTCTAAGACTTGAGGATTCTGCCCTAACTGGACACTCACAGGCTCTCTGGGCTCCAAGCAGATATCTGGAGGCTTGTCATCATCCAGCTTCCGGGTGGGGCGGATGAAGGCAGGGGGTGTGAAATGATTGGTCCTGTCAAACTCCTCAGGCTCCACTCCACGCCCATCTCGGAGCCTCTCCCAGGCTGCACGGTTGACACTGCTCTCTTCTTGGAGCATTGGGGTGCTTGCCTCTGCTTCTTTCTCCTCCTGTAACTCCTGGACAGAGCCCTCTACAGTGCCACGGCGGGACCCTGGGAGATCACCTGTGCGTCGGATGGAAGGCCTGTCCCGCAGCCCATCCTTGAAGGCAGACACAGCCAGGCTCACCTTCTGCACCTGCTCCACTGTCTGCCGCTTGGACATCAACACCCCCATGGCTCTGTGGACAAAAAGCAGAGAGGCCCAGACTCAGCCAGTGACTGAGCAAATCAGGCCAATCAGTTTCAACCATTCACCTAAGTGGCAAGTGCTATTAAATATTAAATAGTTTCTCCTTCTTCTGGGACTCAGTAGCATGGTAGAGAGAGCACTTGTTAAGGAGTCAGAAGACCTTGATTCTCCTTCCGACTGGCCCTGTGACTTTGGTTTTCCCATCTATGAAATGAGGGCTATCTGCCCAGTGTACTTCACAGGGCTGTCATGAGTATAACAGTAGAAAATAGGCTTAACAGTGCCTAGTAAACTGGAAAGCACTCTACACATGTGAAATGGTATCTCTGTCTTCCTTCCTGTTCTAAAGTTAATTAGTCCAGGGGCCCCAGGCCTCTGCTACTTTGAGAGAGCTGGAGATTTCAGCACCCAAGTCTCTCCTCTGCCCCACAAGATGACCCAAGGCTTAAAGCAAGACTGCAACAACACATTTCAGACTTCTGATTGAAGGAAAGCTCCGCCAGTAAGTGCTGTGCACAATCCATCCAGGGATAATCCACATCAAATACCTACTTTTTTTTTTGCAGGGAAGGATTCGCCCTGAGCTAATATCTTTTGCCAATCTTCCTCTCTTTTTTTGTTTTTCTTCTCCCCAAAGCCCCAGTGCATGGTTGTATATCGTAGTTGTAAGTCCTTCCAGTTCTTCTATGTGAGCTGCTGCCACAGCATGGCAACTGACAGATGGGTGGTGTGGTTTCACGACCAGGAAGAGAACCTGGGCTGCGGACGTGGTGAGAGAGCTGAACCTTATCTGCTAGACCATCAGGGCTGGCTCGCAAATACCTACTTTTTGAGTCAGAGTGAAGGAACTGCTATTTTTAGAGGACTCCTGAATTAGGCAGTCAGGAAACTCCACCACTCCAACCACGTGGTCAAGGTCACCAACACTCCTTTGCCCCCCTCTAATTAGTAGCTATGCCTCTTCTTGGGTCTGTCTGTCACAGACCACTGGCCCATTAAAAGCTCTAAGGTGCTTCTCACACTTCTAAGGCTTCACTAATGTCACTTCCACATTTTCTGCTTTGATTTTCTGAACCGTTCAAGAAAGGTCCATATCCTTTACAGGTTAAAAAGTAACATTATCCCTGCTCTTCCTTTGCAGTACCAAGGCACAGCACTGGAAAGTGAGGGCATGACACGGCACATTGCAAAGCTGGTCTGCCATTTCCTAGCTGAAGGGTCTTAGTGGAGTTTGGCTGAGGAATGCTGGTTCTAAGTGAAGTGGAGCAGAGAGTCCGTTTTAGCTTTGCTCTCACGCCATCATAATCAAGGCTTATTGAACAGCACTCTGTGCAAGGCACTGACTACTCGTCATAGGAAACAGAAGCCAGGAGAACGGAGTCTCACCACTCCAGCTACTTAATGTTGGAACTCAAAGAAGAGTAGGACGAGGTGCCAGAGGTGCCTAAAGGGAGGTGAGATCACGCTACTGGGAGTCAAAGTGGACCTTGAAGGATGGGTAGGAAGTCATCCTAAGTTTGTTTGGGGGAAAAGGTGACAGAGGGTAGGAGGAGAGGTGAGGGCCAATTAGAAGGCTACTGTAGTATTCCAGGCAAGAGGTAGAGGGTTTAAACTGAAATGATGGCAGCAGGAATGATACTGAGTCTATTTGATATCATGGAAATAGAATTAGAGATATTTAGGAACAAGTTGATAACTGATTGGATCAAGGGTAAAGGGAGAGAGGTCATGTGACATTTCAGTCAATGATGGACCACATATATGAGGGTGGTCCCCTAATGATTAGTACCATATAGCCTAGGTGTGTAGTAGGCTATACCACCTAGGTTTGTGTAAGTACACTCTATGATGTTCACACAATGACAAAATTGCCTAACGACGCATTTCTCAGAACGTGTCCCAGTTGTTAAGTGACGCATGACTGTATTTATTTCTCAGCTTTATTGAGATATAACTGACATATAACGTGGTATAAGTTTAAGGTGTACAATGTGAAGATTTGATACACATATATATTACGAAATGCTTACACAGTAAGGTTACTAAGCACATCCCTCACTTCACATAATTACCATTTTTTTGTTGTTATGGTGAGAACATTAAAGCCCTATTCTCATAGTAACTTCCAAGTCTACGGTACAGTATTGTTAACTATGGTCACCATGCTGTACCTTAGATCCCCAGAACTTATTCATCTTATAACTGAACGTTTGTCCCCTTGGACCAACATCTCCCCACTTTGCCTACCCCTCAGCCCCTGGCACCCATCATTCTAACTCTGTTTCTATGAGTTAGATGTTTTTAGTTTCCACATATAAGTGAAATCATACAGTGTTTCATTCAGTCTTTCTCTGTCTGACTTATTGAGAGGGCAGTTCTAAATCGACGAACTAGAAGAACGGTAGTGCCATTTACAGGAATTGGGAAATAAGAAAGAGGGACAATGAAATTGGGTTTTGTACATGTTGAATTAAAGATGTCTCTGGGACATTTGGGCCGGCTCCGTGGCTTAGCGGTTAAGTGCGCGCGCTCTGATGCTGGCGGCCCGGGTTCGGATCCCGGGCGCGCCCCGAGGCACCACTTCTCCGTCCAACGTGAGGCCGAGTCCCACGTACAGCAACTAGAAGGATGTGAGCCTGTGGCATACAACTATCTACTGGGGCTTTGGGGGGAAAAAAAATGAATAAATAAAATCTTTAAAAAAAAGATGTCTCTGGGACATTCAAGTGTTATGTTATCCCCTGCTTTCAACTCTTCAATGGCTTTCTACAGCTTTCAGCATAAAGTCCTCCAAATCAGTCTGTTTACCACAGCCTGTGAGGCCCTGCTGGCCTGGCCTCCCTTCCTTACTCTGTGTCCCAACCACACTCGCATTCTTTCAGTCTTTGTCTGCCATGCTCACTCTATTTTGGGGACCTTTGAACATTCCTTCCCATGGGATTAGTGCCTATTCATCTGTCAGAGCTCAGCTCAAGGACCGGTTCCTCAGCGAAGTCACTGCTGACTCCCCAGTCCAACTCGGAGTGCTCACAGCACGACACTCTTCTGCTCCAGAGCACTTACCTTTGTCATTACATATTCGATAGGATGATTATCTGATCAATGTCAGTTTCCTCCATTAGATTGTTTTTACCCTGGACAGTGTCTATCTGCACTGCCTAGCAATGTGTCTGGAAGAGAACAGACACGTAATAAATATTTCCCAATTAACTAATTGTGGAGAAGTCTTTTTGATTTTTCAATAAAGCTTTAATACACATAATATCTGATGATAGCCACATCGTCTTTCCAGAAACAGCTCTTGTATGCACTACAGTGCTGCAAATTCCTACACTGCCTGGGTGCTTGCCCTGCTATCAATTGTTACCACAGAAACCCAATCCATATTTTTGAATTTAAAAACTGACTGATAAGAGAGGAAAGATCCCCTCTCCCCACTTTTAAAATTAAAGTATACGACTAAGGAATATTGTCTTTTAAAGAGCAATGGCAAAGGAGATTTATTGAGGAAAGGTTTATTGATAAAATTCGGGAAATCACTTAAGGTGTTCATAACCCAGTGGACGAATAATAATAAACTGTCATTAAAAAGTCCTTTTTATCCCTGATTGCAAACAAATATTGGACAACTGGGGAATGGTTAAATTATGGTGCGATGGAAGACCAAACAGTATGAAAAATATTGAGGTAGAAGTCTACTTATTGATATGAAAAGATGTTCAAAATATATGAACATATTAATGAAAAAAGCAAGTCACAAAAATGCTCGTTATGATCTAATTTTTCTAAGAATGCATACATATTTTTCCATCTTTTTGTTGATCTGTATTTTCTAATTTTTTTACATTGCACATTAATTATGTAATAAAAAAATCCTAGAGCTGGCAACCTGGTGACTTGTTTTAGTTCTGGATCTGCTGTGACCCAGAACATGTTGCTTTACTGCTTTAGGCTTCAGGCTTCAGTTGTCTATCTGTTAATGAGTGTGCCTGGAGTATGTAGTCTTAA